TTCTGTGTATTTTGGCTAAATAAAGGCTTAACTGACTGATCCTGACTGATCCTTAACTGACTGATCCTGTTTTTTACAATTTCCTTCTATATATTATGATCACACATTTTAAAAGGGGAAATATGAGGATTGTGGCTTCATTTACCAAATGAATTGAAGTAGTTCATTTATAGGTTTGGGAACTTTTTCATTTTTGAAAAAATGAACTATAAAGGTGCGCTAGGTCACTTTTAACTGGCTAAACTGAACTTTGACCTTATGTTTAACAATGAATTAGTAGAACTTTGTTAACACCTCAGCTGTAGATCTGATGGGAACCTCATCGTCTACCAACAGTTGATTGGATTAATCAGTTATTCTAATTGAACCATTTCCAGCCATTTAAACCGTTCTCTCTGGTTGTGTTCCAGGAAAGATGGAGGCGGCGTGGCCGGAGTACCCGGCAGCCATGGCTCTGCTGTCCGACCGCATGGAGCTGACGCAGAACTACTCGTCGGCTCGCTGCGAGCTGTGGAGGAAGAATGGCCTTTACACCTACGCCTGGATAAACTGAGCACGCCACGCGGCGTTTTAAACCTCAGTGAGAGAGCAGCATTGTGTTGGTCTGCACTGCAGCAGGTGGTAGTTTGAACAATCAGACCGAATCTCACAATGAGGGAAACCTGGGGGGATGTTTTTGGGATGCATTCTGGGTAAATTTAACCGAACATGCACAAAGACCAAAGAAAAAATATGTCTGGGTTTTATAAGGAGGGAAAAAAGTGATTTCCAGGTTGAGATGTTTGAGAAAGTGACAGAGCTGCTGTCGGCTTAAAGTGGGACGTTTCCAGAATAATCCATAAAGGAAACCTGTGAATTAAAACAGCAGCAGCTTTCTACCAATTATCATGCTTTCAGACCAAAGATTTATGCTGGTTTTCTACCTGCAAAGATGTAGGTGAAGGTTGCTCTATACCCAGGTTTTCCCTCTCAGATCCAAAAAGAGTTTTTTGTTTCTTTATTCTGCACGAGGTGATTGTTTTTGAAGAGCTCCTCTTATTGTCCTCATTATAACCTCAGCTGAGCGCCCTGAGGAGATCACAGCTGCTACGTTTTGTTTGCTTCCCTGCTGAAGGCAGAACAATCAGAGCTTCACAATCTTCTTTGTTTAAGAATGAATGTTTTCAGCTCCTTCTGAGGGAAACTGATTAAAACGAGATGAGAGTGAAATGTTATTGGAAAAACCCTGAAAAAATAACAATGCCTGACCTGTAGGTGGCAGTAGGGATGCATATAATGATTAATCGATTAATCTGTCGATTATTTTATTATTTAATTGATTAATAATCAGATAGCCAAAGGTTTCTTAAAAAATTAAACAGGTGAAGCTAAAACTTTTCCACTTGAGGAGTTCTGGAGCAGATTGAAACATGGATGTTTTCCAGTCAAAGTTTTTCATCTTAAATACAAAATTTATATATTTTATTACAATCTTTGTATAATTTTTCTCTAATTTGGTCGCTCTGTCAGCTAATGGAACGCTTTACAGTCTCTATACTCCAGTTAACGATTAATCAATTACTAAATTAGTTGATTATTTCAATAATAGATTAATCTAATTGTCTCAGCCTTAAAGTAAAGTATAATCTGAATGAGAAGAAATATATTCTTTGCTAAATTAAGCTTAGTAGAAATGTTAGTGAGAAATACCCCATAAAAAACAGTCCATTTATAATTTAACAAACTGATGATTAATGAAAATAAACAGGAAGTGGAGGAATGAAACCGCCCTTAACAGACTGAACTATGAACTGTTTTTAAAGATGAAGATGCAGCATGTTGGATGTAACGGTTATCCAATCAGAAAAACTCACAACACCTCACCGCTTTAACCAGTTCAGCTCATCGTCTCCACCAGTTTAACCATCACCTTCTTTATTGCTGTGTTTGTTTCTGTTAAAATGAGTCTACAGTGTTTATCTCTACTGCTTCTTCCTCGTTTATTTACTAGGGGTGGAACGGTTCACTAAATCCACGGTTCGGTTCACGGTTTCTGGTCACGGTTTTCGGTTCGGTTTATGTTGATCGTTACACCGAAATCCCATAAAAATTAATGAATTTAATGAAAAAATCCAAAAAAAATTATGAATTGTAATTATTTTTAATGATCCGCAGAAATCCTGGATCATTTCCGCATGTTTTGCTGCTTTGAATTTAATCATCTGGCGCATGCCCTCTACCATCTCCAAGGAACTCAGAGCGGAGCGACGGAGC